GTGCTTCGACGGCACTCCGTGACGCATCAAGGAGGCATCTGGGGCCCAGGCAGCCCGCCCGTAAGCGCACCACCGTATCAGGTATGCGCAGGTGGAGCAGCAGAGCAAGATGTGTGCCGGACACTCACCATCATCCGGTCGACTGCATGGCTGTGGGACTTTACACAGCCGTCACTCATTACTTGCTATTGCTTGCAGAAGGCCAGGATATTTTTTTCTTTTTCGCTCTTTCCCTTCTTCCAGGCACGGCTTCATGTTAGAGCAGTAAATTGCAGTTAGGGACTCAGCTGAGTCAAGCTGGACTCAGCGTGTCAAGTTTGGCATAATACAATAAGCGCGCTATCCCCAAACAGTTGTGTGGTTATTGTGTGAGTGTATATGCAGGAGTCCGCGGTCACGTGAGGGGGGAGTGATAAATGGAAGTTTCCGGAGGAGGAAGGAGGAAACTGTAGTTATCACCAACCCTCACCGCGCCCAGCTCACGCCGCCACGGCGTGCGACCTGAGCTGGGCGCCCTGCCCAGTATGGAACTGTCCTCAAGCCAGTCACGTATTTGGCAGCCCAGTGAGCTGTCTACTGGATCGCAGCGTTTAGAAGCGCCAAATGCGGCAGGGCCAGTCTCAGGCTGGTCGCGTAGGCGGCAGGCCGGCGGGCGACCGGCAAGGCTGCATTCGCATTTGGATCACCGAAGTGATACAGGTGCTTCGACGGCACTCCGTGACGCATCAAGGAGGCATCTGGGGCCCAGGCAGCCCGCCCGTAAGCGCACCACCGTATCAGGTATGCGCAGGTGGAGCAGCAGAGCAAGATGTGTGCCGGACACTCACCATCATCCGGTCGACTGCATGGCTGTGGGACTTTACACAGCCGTCACTCATTACTTGCTATTGCTTGCAGAAGGCCAGGATATTTTTTCTTTTTCGCTCTTTCCCTTCTTCCAGGCACGGCTTCATGTTAGAGCAGTAAATTGCAGTTAGGGACTCAGCTGAGTCAAGCTGGACTCAGCGTGTCAAGTTTGGCATAATACAATAAGCGCGCTATCCCCAAACAGTTGTGTGATTATTGTGTGAGTGTATATGCAGGAGTCCGCGGTCACGTGAGGGGGGAGTGATAATGACAATATATAAGCTAGCACCATAGCGTAATATATTAACTAGCGTTGTAGAATGTACCTGTTAGAGTTATGAGTTATGTATCTTTAGTTTTGTGTTCATGAGCTAGACTTTCTTTTTGCTCTCTAAAAAGGAACGAGGGGGCTTTTAAGCCCAGGAGCCCTCGCTATGCTTTGTTTTTACCTTGGTCGTCATATGCGTTGTTCAAGTTGATAGAAACGTCTTTGCACTACAACACCATGCGCCCGATAATCGTATTGCAAAGATATTTCTATCAGTTCAAGCAACACACATGACGGCCGATGTAAAAACAAAGCATAGCAATGGCTCCTGGGCTTTCAAGCTCTATAATTATTATTACCGACACTTCTGTGGCAGTGTCAACTAAGCTCGCACATAGATGCGGCTAGTCCACACGTTCGCTCTTGCTGGATACGGATGGGGGGGGGGGGGTGGTACAACAAAATAATAGGATCAATAGAGAGGTTCCGGGGTACGATTTTCCGTGCCAAAATCCGTATGGGCGCTACGGATTTTTTCCAGGCGTGCTCCATACGATTTTTCGGCACGAGAATCCGTGTGGTCTGGCTTTCATACGAACCATGCTTCGTATGGAGATTTTGCGTCATCGGGTGCAGAAAGATTTTCGCGTACAAATTTGGTACGAGAAACATCGATTTTTCGCGGGAAGTTTTGATTTCGGTACAAATTTTCAAAATAAAAAGGCATAGCGCGGGAATGTGACGTGTTTGCGATCGTAACCTAGGCAATGACGGCAAACACATAAGTTCCGTACCCCGGAACTTTTCACTGCTCGAAAACGACGTATAAAAATCCGTAGCGCCTCCACGGATTTTGGCACGAAAAATCGTACTCCGGAACCTCCCTATTAATCAAAAAAAAAGGGTAGTCATAAAGCCTAGCACGATAGAAGCTGATTGGCGAACGACAATTGCGCTGGGTCGGGTGTCAAATTTTGAAGTAGATGATCCCATTCAAAAGTAATTTAAATCCGCAGGCTCGCCCTTTCCCCTTCCAACCAGTCTCACCCAGTACCCGTAAATGTGAATTTCTCCCCCACTTCCTACCCACAGGGACTCACTTCCTACCCACAGGGACTCACTTCCTACCCACAGGGACTCACTTCCTACCCACAGGGACTCACTTCCTACCCACAGGGACTCACTTCCTACCCACAGGGACTCACTTCCTACCCACAGGGACTCACTTCCTACCCACAGGGACTCACTTCCTACCCACAGGGACTCACTTCCTACCCACAGGGACTCACTTCCTACCCACAGGGACTCACTTCCTACCCACAGGGACTCACTTCCTACCCACAGGGACTCACTTCCTACCCACAGGGACTCACTTCCTACCCACAGGGACTCACTTCCTACCCACAGGGACTCACTTCCTACCCACAGGGACTCACTTCCTACCCACAGGGACTCACTTCCTACCCACAGGGACTCACTTCCTACCCACAGGGACTCACTTCCTACCCACAGGGACTCACTTCCTACCCACAGGGACTCACTTCCTACCCACAGGGACTCACTTCCTACCCACAGGGACTCACTTCCTACCCACAGGGACTCACTTCCTACCCACAGGGACTCACTTCCTACCCACAGGGACTCACTTCCTACCCACAGGGACTCACTTCCTACCCACAGGGACTCACTTCCTACCCACAGGGACTCACTTCCTACCCACAGGGACTCACTTCCTACCCACAGGGACTCACTTCCTACCCACAGGGACTCACTTCCTACCCACAGGGACTCACTTCCTACCCACAGGGACTCACTTCCTACCCACAGGGACTCACTTCCTACCCACAGGGACTCACTTCCTACCCACAGGGACTCACTTCCTACCCACAGGGACTCACTTCCTACCCACAGGGACTCACTTCCTACCCACAGGGACTCACTTCCTACCCACAGGGACTCACTTCCTACCCACAGGGACTCACTTCCTACCCACAGGGACTCACTTCCTACCCACAGGGACTCACTTCCTACCCACAGGGACTCACTTCCTACCCACAGGGACTCACTTCCTACCCACAGGGACTCACTTCCTACCCACAGGGACTCACTTCCTACCCACAGGGACTCACTTCCTACCCACAGGGACTCACTTCCTACCCACAGGGACTCACTTCCTACCCACAGGGACTCACTTCCTACCCACAGGGACTCACTTCCTACCCACAGGGACTCACTTCCTACCCACAGGGACTCACTTCCTACCCACAGGGACTCACTTCCTACCCACCACAGGGACTCACAAATTCGCACTGGACATGTTTAATATTTGTAGTTTGATGCATAAATGATATGGTTGCTTTCAAGTTCCAACCCAACGACCATCGTAGAAGTCAAGGCCTTAAAGTATCGAAAGAAGTCATCGTGTCTTGTTCCTCTCCCCGTCCCCAGCCCCAATCCCGCCTCCACTAATCTCCATAAATCATGTCCCTCTGACCATTGTTGACTCAACCAGAATCCTAGGCGTTACCATAGACTGCCGCTTGACCTGGACACTCCATGTTGATGGCATTGTGCACAAGGTGTCAAAGAAGATAGGCGCTCTCCGGCGCCCTTTCAGATGTTTGTCAATACCTGCTCACCGTTCCTTCATTCTTGCTGTCATTCTCCCGGATCTTGTGTATTGCTCCCCTTCTTTCCTCACGAAGTTGTCTGCTCAGGATAGGAACAGATTACAATCACTGTTTCGGCGTGCTGTTCACGCAGCATGTGGCGCTGACCACCTTGATGACCCTGGCCCATTATTATGCAGATTATCGCTGTTTTCTTTTGATCAATATAATTATGGTAATGTCCTTTGCTAGATTTCTACATCGCAATTTTGTCTCTCATCCTCTACCTTCACTCCCCTCCCTCTTCCCTAAGCCTCGTGCTGCCCGTCGTACGAGGAGCCAAACCACCCCATCCATTGCAGTGAACAGATTTCGTACTGCTGATGGTGTCAATTCTTTTTCTAACCGTGCTGCGTTGTTCTTTACTGCACTACCCTCTGAACTCTGCAGTTCTTCACACACTCAGCATTTCATGCAGAAATTCAACAATTTTTTGAAGGACCCAATGCAGGTCAACCGCTCTCTTAACTTCCTTTTTGGCCGCGTTACCAATGTGTAGTGAACGTTGTATATCCTTGAGTGACCGTTGTATATCCTTATTGATTTCTTTTTCCTTGGTGCAAGTCACACTCCATGTATGATCTTCATTATCTTTACCTTTACTGGGTCTTCACATTGGCTATAGCCTCATCTTTTAACTTTTCTTCATCCTTTTTGCCTCATCGGCGCTCTTTGAATTTGTGTGTCAACACTGTTGAGTTGTTCAATGTTAAATAAATACTACTAACTTGATTAGACCCCGAGTTTTGTAGGTATAGAGTGACATGATACTCCTAAAGTGCTCAGAGGAATACACTACTAGTGCTTGCAAGAAATTGTAACTGATAGGGGTCTTGGATTAACGAGTAATCGGTATAATTTTTTTTAAGCCCTACAGTCCATTTCAAAACTATGGACGCGTAGGGTTTTTGAAATATTTCAAATTTAGGTGGAACTTTTTGAATGAGAATAGTTTTCGGAATATTGCTCAGGTCCGCTCCACAACTACTCTCATAATATATATTTTCTAAACGATTGGATAACAGACGCCCAATTTGGAAACATTTATGCACAAAGTGATCACAGATTTTATGTGGTATAGATGCTGGCGTAACGGTTTTTGCCTAGGTACGCGTCTATAGTTTTAAAATGGACTGTAGTTATCCCACCCTACGAAAGTATCATCCAAATAGCAGACATTTTACGACGCGAATCAGGATGAACATAGTGAGCCTTACTTGTCTGAATGTATCTAGTGATGTCGGCACGACCTTCAAACATTCTTTCTTCTGGACTGTAAATCTGGTAGAAGCATAGCCGATGACTGAATGTGACTGGATTAAGCAAGGTACTGTAGAAACCAGATATAACACAAAAGACACCGTTAAAAAAAGTAAATTATCGTGTCCGTTCCCAAAGGGAACTCACGACGGCCGCTAGCACCCGGTAAACCCAAGCAGCAGATGCAGCGCCTAACGGTGGGGGTGAGTGGATAAGTCGCCGCAACCGCTGGCACAAGTGCCGAGAAAGACCTCATTAGCCACATCCATGTACCCCTTGTGCCTGGCCACAAGTTCCCAGTTGACTGTGGGTAGCACCACGGCTAGAAAAACCGCTCCCAGGCAGGACTGGAACCAGGTACCTCTCGTATCTCAATCATGGTCGTTGACCAATGCTGTATTAACGCTCATGCACTTCATTATCGCAGACACACAACATATGCCGGTTTCATGGAGTGTTGGTAAACCAAATCTGGCATGTGATAATCATAATGATTGTAGGCGATAGTCCACGCACAAGGTGCAGTGCCCATGTTACGCGCAAGAAGACAACTAGAATTAAAGATCGGTTCCATACACACACACATGCACACTTTCTGAACACGCAAATGGGACAACACACCGTTAAATTTTGTTTTTCGTAACCATTTATCCTTGCAAAGACTCTAAAAAAGAAGTAAAAAGGCCAGCAAAGGCACAGCGCGCTTGAACCACCATATGCATGTGGTGGAAAAGGAATCATAGTGGATCATATTGGAAACGGAATCATGTTTTTTTTTAATTTTCTTGTCGATGTCATTGCACTGGTGGCTTCAGGATCAAAATAACAGTTCTTGCTGCCTTTTCTGTTGAGTCGTGATAGTTTTCCGGTAAATTTAAAAGTTAAGCTCTGTTTTTCTTTGCCTTCTATATGTTGAGTCCGAACAAGAGAGGTTTCTTGCTCACTAAAACAACTAACAATGGGAACAGGTAGGTTGGTGGAACGACATTTATTAGAGACTAGACTAAGACCAGTACGAACGAAACGACTACATAGTGATTATTGAAGAGGGAGATTATTTTGAAGAGAGCTTATTGAAGAGAGTGAGTTGAAGAGAGAAGAAACGCAATATAAAGGGCCTGGGTAGCTATGGTAAACATGGGCACGCAAGTAGTTACCCAGGCCAAATGAATAATAATAATAATAATAATAATAATAATAACGAGAGAGCTTGGAAGCTCAGGGCCCTGCGCTATGCTTTGTTGCCTAGCTCATCGTGCATGTTGTTAGAACTGATGAAAATGCTTTTTCCTTTGATTAGCTTCATCATTGTATTGCCAAAACGTTTCAATGAGATACTGAAGTAACGTCTTCTGCATAGCTATGGGACCGGCGCTGACTTTGCCGATCACGGGCGTTCTGCAGTCGACGGGATGTCTGTCCTGATGACGTTTCCTGGGACCGGCGCTGACTCTGCCGATCACGGGCGTTTATCTTCTTATTATTATTATACTGGCGGCAACCAACATCCATTCTGATTGCATTTACTCGTCTCCCTACTTCGTATTTCTTTCCAGAAAATCTCCCCATACAGCAGGGAGTCGTTTACATAATATGACTCCCTGCTATACATCTACATGACTGTATAATTATACGTTATAGTTATTATGCTATCCGCCTACATGCGATTCCCGGGCAGGTCGACAGGCGGCCCAGCCAGCCTGCTAATGGGATCTCGGCCTCGCACACAAATCCACACAAAATGTTACTGCACTGAATGCATTCCCCCGATACACTTCGCATATATACTAATGTCTTATTCTCTTGATGGTACCGTACTCTTGATGGTACGGGACAGGTACGGGATAGCGCCAGGCATGTCGATGGCACAACACAAAAATATTGTGGCCAGCTGTCTTTGCTGGTACGGTACAGTACGGGACAGATACGGGATAGCGCCAGGCGTGACACAAACAAACAAACAAACAAACAAACAAACAAACACCAAATTAAAGCTGTGTGGACCCTGGCTAGCGCCAGACGTTACTGAAGTAACGTCTTCTGCATAGCTACGGGAATAATAAAATAAAGTTATTTACATGAAAACAAGTTTTGCTAATGGTGTTTGTACTGAGTGCGCAGCTTACTCTATTTATTGCGTTGATTACATTTTTATCTCCACGTAAGCTTTTTGATAATAATAATAATACCACAGCACGCGTACAAAGGGCAAAGAACAATGCATGAGAATACACTGAAATTAAGCCAAGTCCGCTTCTGTCTCCAGTCAACAAAAAACTCATCCATAAACAATGTCTGATCTCCATTTCGACTTGTCTGCAGCAAATGCTCGTGCTCCTTCTAGGTCGCTGGCATTCTTCGAAGGAATGTCGTGCCCTGCCAGGTCCTTCATGATGGTGGTAGGGAGAGTAGCCGCGGGACGGCCCCTTCGTCCACATGACCCCGCTTGAAAATAGCAGGACATCGCAAGGCAAGGGGGTGACTGCTCACTCATCCTCAGCACATGGCCAGTGAGGCTACGCTAAATGAATAATGCATGAACTAGTGAATGTGAACTAATTACTTGTGGGCCTAACATAATATAGTTTACTAGTATACTGGATGGCGTAAATGTACCAGCATTGCACAAATAGTGCCCCCTCTTGCATATGTGATGGACATTGAATAAAATTGGGCAAGTAATGAAATCATTATTGTTTTGCCAGCCAAGATGAGCAGCACAATCTTAGCAAGGCTAGTTGCTTTACTATCTCAAATCGTGGACAGCTGAGTTCGGCAAATGTGTGCAGATGTGCAGCAGTGCGAGCTGTATGCGAACATGACGGGCTCTTTCGCACCTCCTTGCGTTCAGCGACACACCAGTACCTTGGACAGATCCTGGCCTTGTTCAAAGTTGTTGCGCCATCTCTGTGCAGGTGTGCAGTGTTTACGGGGCGATTGCCTTGGCTGCCAAGTCGGCTACCTCTCGCATTGGCCCAGGCGCAGGAGCCCACTTGCTGTATCCGGCGCTTGCTATGGTGATGAGGCAGCTGTTGGACTGCTTGGTGTAACTGGACACAGCGTCAGCAATCGACTTCAAGCCCATTCCACTGTTGGATCAAGGGCTGCCACCGGCAGATGTCTCTTCTGACCGGAAAAGGGGTTGGTGTGGATAGGCCTCTCGCAGATGTTCAGCAAGCGCCCAGTACGCCAAGGCTCGGCGTAAAGGAGAGTTTGCCCAGGAAGTGGTCGAGTTTGCATTGATTTACCTAGACACTGGTTGACACAGTGCATGCGGAGGTCGGCCATTTCGTAATTTTGTTATCTGTCATCTGAGTGTTGGGTCTCCGTGGGCACCATGTCAGAAGAATGCCTAGGGGGACAGGGATGTAGATGGGCCAGTAGCTTTCTCCTCGGTTTGAGGGTTGTATTAGCATTTCAAACGACCCACGTTCCCTTTGCTAGGTTACGACCAGTCAGTCGCTTTGCGGAGCGGGCTTTGATTTGCCATCAAAGCCCGCTGTCTGGGGTAACCTGTACGAGAAAACCAGCAAACCCGCTGTCAGGGGCAACTGGTACGACAAAACCATCAAAGCATAATGAAACACTGCTCATGCGCACTTTCATGATAGTATCTTTTGACTAGGAAGTAGCCAAGAAGTTAGAAGATCTTTCCTTACTGTATGGAAGTTTCCTCCAAATATGACGGCGTATGGTGGCGAGCCGATTGACACCCAGTTCAGCACCACCAATATCAGCTGACCATCTTTTCAGCACTCTTACTTCAGCGCGCCCCAATTCACCCTTGTCCTAACATAGCACCGCCTATTTCAGGTTTGTCCTAATATAGCGCAAACATTTCACACAAGACCCAATATAACCGGCTCATTTCGGCTCATTTCCAACATCTCGATCTCAATTCGTCGAATATGGCTGCTGAGAACATTGAAGACATAGAGTCGGCGTTTTTGACGGTGACTCAACGCAGAGGACGCGCAGTAATCTAGAATGGATTTGCGTACCAGATGGAAAAGTGGAAGGCGGAGGGTCGTATTTCGTGTCGCTGTCTTGTGTCGGGTTTTAAAGGGCGGTTGGAGTCGACGGCTGCTATTCTCGATGATGGAGAGGACATTGATGCAAATGTAACTACAAAGATCGCAACCATCCACCTACAAATGAACGAGTTGATGTACAACGCTCTGTGAAACGTATGAAACACCGCTGTCGAACCGAGAGTACGGGCATACGTAACATCATTTTATTTATTTTTTTACAAAATAGCCACAAACCATCATGGTGCAAACGCCGGCAAAAACGCACAGGGATACACATAGGGATGGCAGCCGAAGAAGTGGAGGCGGGGCAAGAGCAGCTCAACCGACCAAGGGTCTCGGTTTCAGCACTGCTCATGCGCGCCAAACAGAAAAAATACGAAGTGAGAAAAAATGAGCAGGAGCACAACAGAGCAAATTAGAAATAAATAATATGTAGGATAGGAGAGCAGGCACACCACACATTGCCACACACGCCCAGTAGCAGGCAATCGAATGCATATACACAAACACACTCTCAGTCACATTCACACACAAACACCTGCGCACACGCACACAAACACATGCGCACACGCACACAAACACATGCGCACACGCACACAAACACACGTCTACGATGAAGAGCTGGATGCGCCGGCATCCACGACCTTCCTCAGGCGCCTTTGCCTGCTCACATCTCAATCTTCGGGAGGTAGCTATTCGTCGTTGATGGGATACTATCGCTGTCGGGTGTCTTTCGCACTGCTACGTTCCACTGTATTGTGTGTCCGGGGTGCTCGGTCGGCCCGCCACCGTCCGGTTCACATGCTTCGTGAGTTGGTGATGGTGGAGGGTCGGGTTCCCTGCGGTGATTAGTGCTGCACTGAGCTTGTAAGTATGTATAGGATATACCCTGAGCTGGAGTGTATATGGAAAATATACACCAAATACAAACCGAGGCCGCAGGCCGAGGTTTGTATGATGGCCTATATTTTCCATATACAGTCCAGCGAAGGGTATATCCGACTTATACCTACCTCAATATACACCCCATCCATCA